GAAGACAAGCCAATAACAAAGACAGACAAAATTACAAAATCATTAACAATGAAATCAGAAAAATGACAAATGAGAGAGGCAAAACAAACTTACTCTGAGGAAAAATGTAAAGAGATAGAAGATCTTCAGAACAAATACGACCTTTTCAACCTATATAAAAAGGTTAAAGATATGACAGAGCTGTAAAAATGAAACCACAACATAACTCTTTTACAACCGAATGAACATAACTCTTTTACAAACAACGAATAGTGGACAAAAGAATGGAGAGATTGGAAACCATCAAGACAAGAAAGCTGCAATACCTGGGGCATGTTATGCGTAAAGAAAGATACAACATACTTCAATTAAGGGAAAATCCAGGGCAAGAGAAGTGTAGGAGGGAGGAGATTCTCATGGTTGCGTAACTTAAGAGAATGTTACGGATGCACATCAGCCGAACCATTCAGAGCGGCAGAATCTAAGATCAGAATAGCCATGATGATTGCCAACCTCCATCGCGGAGATAGCACATAAAGAAGAAGATAAATTTTACTCTTTTCTCGTATATTAGTCTTTTTATTGATAGTAGAAGTTCTCAAACCAATTCAAGACCGAGAGAGGTGTTAGACAAGGATGCGTGTTGTCACCTGACCTATTCAACATTTATGGTGAACATGTCATGAGGATGGCTTTAGATGGATGGGCCAGCGGAGTAACACTGGCTGGTAGGAAAATCTCCAATTTAAGATTTGCTGAGTACACTACACTTATAGCAGGAAATAAACAAAAAATGGTTAATCTCCCCCGAAGAGTTGAGTACGAAAGCAATCAAGTTGGTCTTCTTCTTCTTTAAGTTCCGCTCCTATCGGAGATTGGAAATCATTCTGGCAATTATAATTTTGTTGGTTACGCGCCTGAATAGTTCAATTGAACTGCATCCAAACCACTCACGGAGATTGCGTAGCCACGAGATTTTACATCTTCCTACGCTTCTTCTGCCTCTGATTTTACCCTGCATTATATTTCTTAGTAGTTCGTATTTTTCACCTCTCATGATGTGCCCCAAGTATTCCAATTTCCTGATCTTTATGGAATTTAAATTCGCATTCTCATGTGCCTTGTCATACAATGACTAGGAGTGACAAACTCATCATTCGAAGACTCCGAATAGGACACTCGCATCACTCACGGATACCTGATGACTTCCGAAAACCCACCTGCTTGTGAACATTGTGATTGTCAGCGCCTTACAGTACAACACTTACTCGTTGAGTGCAGATATTATAGACTATATAGATTAGCTCATAATATAAACGGTAACCTGAAACAGATACTTAGTTCACCAAATGTGTACAGTGCTCTAATTGACTTTTTAAAAGATTGCAGATTATATTATCGTATATAACAAATATTGTAACATTGTTAAAAAAAAACAAAGTTTGTAACACTAGATCTTTCCAAATCTAATGTAACTTACTGTATTTATCTTATGTAATGTAATAATGTTCTATGTATAATGTAATACTCCAGACGTTTTTGTACCCGTGTCAATGGCCATAGATGTCGAGACACGATAATTTCAATAAAAAAAATTCTCATTGTTTTCCTGGTTGTTCGAGAACTTGTTCGTTTATTTTGTGATTCATCTATGATATTTTCAAAATACGTCGTAACACCACATTTCGAATGCTTCTAGGTTTTTAATGTTGGATTTTTTAAGTGTCCAAGATTCAACCCCATACAAAAGGGTAGAGAAAATATAACACCGAAGCATTCTTATCCGAAGCGATATATTGATATCGCGATTACAAAAAAGTTTTCTTATTCTATTAAAAGTTGACCGTGCAATTTCAATGCAGCATCTTGTTTCTTTTGTCTGATCAGTATCTTCTGTGATCCATGCTCCAAGGTAATTGTACGAAGATATTTGTTCAATTTCTGTGTTATCTAGTACTAGCTTAACTTTGATGTTTTGTGCTTTTGTAAATACCATGAACTTGGTTTTCTTCAAATTTATTTTTAGTCCATAATCGTTGCAATATATATTTAGTTGTTCAAGCAAGATGTTGCAGTTCTTCTAGTGTTTCTGCCAGAAGGACGGTGTCGTCAGCATATGTTATGTTATTAAGTGGCTCACCGTTTATTATAAGACCCTCACTGACCTCGGCAAGCGCTAATTCTGAAATGGTTTCACTGTATATATTAAATAACAAGGGTGATAAAATACACCATTGGCGGACCCCACGGCGAATCTGGATATCCTCGGTCAGTTTATTTTCAACTTTTGCTGTTTGGTTCCAATAGAGGTTACATATGATTCCAATGTCTCTACTGTTTTTATTTAATAAAATTTCTTTAACCCGACTGTGCTGTACTCTGTCAAATGCCTTCTGAAAATCAATGAAACATGCATATACTTCCTGATTTATATCTAAGCATCTCTGTGAAAGAACACTTACTACAAACAGTGCATCTCGTGTTCCCAGTCCTTTCCTAAATTCCGTTTGTGTATTACTTATGCCTTCATCTAATTTCTTATGTATTCTATTGTGAATTACTTTTAAAAACAATTTCAAGACATGACTCATTAAGGCTATCGTGCGATGTTCATTGCACTCCTTTGCATTGGCTTTTTTGGGAAGTAGTATGAATGTTGATTGGAGCCATTCTTTAGGTATTATACCTGTTCTATATATGGTATTGAATAGATCTAAAAGAAGATCAATAGATTCAGTATTCACAATTTTGAGTAGTTCGATAGGAACTTCATCAGGCCCGGGAGATTTACCACCTTTAGCTTGTTTCATTGCATATTCAATTTCTTCTCGTATAATGTCAGGCCCAGTATCATCCTTAAATTCTTTTGGTGCTTCTGTTCTCTCTTTGTCTTCAAAAAGTTGTGCTATATATTGTGTCCCTCTCTGCATTTTTTTGGTTTATATCTGTTATAAGTGCACCACTTTCATCTCTTAGTTGCCTAGTTTGCGGCGTTTTTCTCATTCCTGTTAATTCTCTAATACCTTTATGCATATTAAAAGTCATTTTTCTCAATTTCTTCTAGTTCTTGGCACTGCTCATGTAACATTCTCTACTTTGCTTCTTTTATTCTCTTTTAAATTAATCGATCAGTTTCATTATATTTAATTGGATTTTTTGTTTTGAATGATTTTCTTTCATTCATTAATAGCAGTATTTCTTCAGTCATCCAGTCTTTGTTTTCTTTTCTTTGGTTTTAAATTTTTATTTGCTGTTTTAATTATTGCTACTTTTATATTTTCCCATTTCTGATCAATCTTATAGCTTCTTTTATTCAGTTCTTGGGCATTAGGTAGATTTTCAGTAAGACATTTTACAGTTTGTTCCTTTGTTTGTGGTTCCCTTAATCTCTTAATATCAATTCTACTTTGTGTGGGTTTTTTAACCAGTTTCAATTTGGTTCGTAATGTGACTACTATGGGGTTATGGTCTGAACCGATGTCTGCTCCAGGGTAATTTTTGGCAGACAGTATAGCATTACGAAATCTTTGTCTAATGACGACAAAGTCAATTTGATTTCGGATTATTCTATTCGTTGTATTACCGGGAGATTTCCATATATACAATCTTCCTTTTGGTAGCTTACAAATTCTTCCGTCTGGTAAAATTGTATCAAACGGTCACCACGTTCATTTCTATTTCCAAGACCATATTCCCCCACATATACATCCACTCTTCCCTGGCCAACTTTGGCATTGAAGTCGCCCATTACTTTGTAGTGTGATGTTTCTTCATTGATTTTAACACTTTTTCCAAATCATGGTAAAATAGTTCGATATCGTCATTATCTTTATTTTCCGTAGAAGCATAAACTTGAATAAAATTTACTATACCTTTTTTAGACTGAAGTTGTATTGATAAGATCCTATCAGAATAAGGAGTAAAACTTCTCAGAGTAATTGACCATTTTTACAACTAAGATACCAACACCATAGCGATGAGTAATCTCGTTGTTACCTGAATAATACACGGTTCCATTATTTGTAATTTGTTTGCCTGAACTTGAACAATGTACGTCACTTTTATCTAATACATCAATTTGGAGGTTTTCCTTTTCAAGCAGTATGTTCGCTAATTTACCACTTGCGTATAGACTTCTTACATTCCAGGTTGCTATTTTTAATGTCTTAAGTACACAGGGATTTCTCTGGTTTACGACCTGGGAGGCCCTGTGATATACGGTCATTCCTCCCCTGCCGGATCTTGGATTCCGTGCTCCATAATCAGTAAGTTTGTTTACTCTACTTGTCATTTGCCGTTTTTGACTTTACTAGGGGTACTCTATGAGTCTTTAATGCGGTGGTTCCCCGTTGTCTTCTGCATCCTTACGCCGTTGACCTATTTTTCGATTCATCCGTCTTTAGGTTAGGACCAGTTTCCCAACCCTTGGACAAAAGAGTGCCCTTTCACTTATTAACTCATCCGCCCGCAGCAGTTGGTCATTGCTTATACCGGCAATCATTCGGTAAATTACCTGTTGGTCCACGGGAGGTATTTTATTTCCCTCCTACCCATCGGTAAACCGTGTCGGGCATTCCCTTCTCCGCCACCTAGGGACGCGCTTTCTAGAGGTTACAGGTTTCCCCGAGACGTCTAAAAGTTCCCCCCAAGTTGGTCTAAAAATCAATAAAGCTAAGACAAAAATAATGGTGGTCGATAGATTCTACACTATGTTATACATACATGTTGCAGGAATACCAGATGCTGGACAGTTTTGTTTATCTCGGGTCTAGTATAACTAACTGTGAAGCAGAAGTTCGGAGACGTATTCGTATGGGAAAAAATACGATGGGTAGTCTAATTAAAATTTAAAAAGAAAAATCTATGTCTCAAAATATCAAGATGAGACTGGTGAATGTCCTTGTATTCTCAATATTTCTATACGGAGCAGAGACTTGGACTCTGAAGAAAATTTAAAATAAAATGTTTGCCTGTGTCTCTACCAAACAAAAAATTTAAGTCTACATAATATTTGTACCTACCTCAAGTTCTGTAAAGATACTAGGTAGAGCACCAACTGCTCCCAAAACTTGACCTACAAGTCGATCGGCTCTGCAAAGGGTCGGTTCGATTTTGGTACCAACACCAATGAGTCCTCCTGGAACTGCGAATTGCAGTTCGTTTTGTTCGGTATATAGAGATACTATTCTAGAGAAGATTGGTCGGCAGGCCAGCTTTCCTTCCGAGTCTTTGCTAACTAGTCCAGGTCTTACCTAAAAAAAAAAAATAAACAAACGCCAAATATTAATCAAATATGCGACAATCGTCAAATATTTACAAAGCCATGTAATACTGATATAGACAACTCCCGTTTATTCGCGGCTCTGTAGAAGCTTTTTTAAATATTAATTAGAACCTGTTATTTTATAAACTAGATCAATATTATTATTACTATCCAGATTTAGCCATACGGCTCACATTCCCTCTTAGGGTACGTTCATATCAGAGTGTAACGAGAACGTTACTTTAATATTTCGTAAACATTTTTAAATAAATTTTAGAATCCCGATCCTCTTAATGACTTTCTGAATTTTAAAATTTAAGTTGGTAGTAAGCAACGCCATCTACGACGCTGCAAGGGCCATGACCATCGGTCTAATAATTAGCGATCATTCGGGTTTTGACTTTTTGAGAAAGAACATCGTTTAACAGGGTAGGCGACAGCAGCGTGCTAAATATATTTTAAGAATAATAATTGTGTTGGGGAAGGAAGAATAGAGTTTTTTTAGTTGTTTGATAGTGTTTAATCGTTAATTTAGAAGCCGCTACTAGTCGGTGAGTTGATAACTATAAATTAGATTATAAATAAAAAGTGTAAAAACTATCAGCCATTTTATCTTCTATAATATCGTCACTTTTTCTTCGATAGTGTAATATCTATCTATCATTTCTCACATTATTTCCTTAAGAATCATTCTGGATTTATATATAATACTGTTATAAAATCATACCAATTTTCTATTTTATTTCCCAGCTTTAAAAACATATAATTATCCATCGTTAAATTATCTATTATCTATTAAGACTATCTGTAAAAATATTCCGCCTTATACCGTCCTTTTATATTCAAAAATATATCCGTGTATCAAAAATATTTCCTTAAAATTATCGATTTCATCAATTTATTTACATCAAATAGTGTTAGACTTTTTTGCTAAACTTTTTGTCATATTTTTTCCCATCTTTTTATTAAGTGTAAGAAGGAATTGTAACACAAGTGTTCTTTTTAGCCTACCCCCAAGAAGTTAAATCCTGAATCAAGGATTTCATTTTATTTAATTTTGTTGGGGAATTAAATTACACTCAGAAAAGAGATTACGTTATCCTTGCCATTATCCTACCCGTTTTTATTAAGCATATTTTTAAGCATATTTTATTACATTGGATCGATACAATCCTATGGTCGGAGCGAGGGTCGGTGGTCGGCGCCTCTCGTAGTGAGCACCCACTTACGAGGGATAATCCTCCCTGGAACTTGGTTATAACGTCATTGAAGGGTTCAGTAAAAAAAAAGACGCTATATCAGAGTGACGTTATAAAAGAAGTAGAAAAAATGAAATTTTAACGAGGTAAAATTGTATTACACCATTATTTATTACTACAGCTGCATTTAGGATAAAAAATTAAGAAATAAAACAAAACATGTAAGTATATGAAACTTACATTTTTTATGAAAAAGTTATCTAATGCTGAAAAAAGTCAGATATTTTCCTCTGCACAACCCTTTCCGAAAAATAAAGTTTTTCTGTAATGTTCTTAATAATCTGAGCTACTTCTTTGGTAGTTATGGATGACTCCCTGGACTGGTAAGACTGGATATGGTCTTATCCTCATTGCTTCTTGGATTGTAGGACAATCAACGCTATCCTCTTCTTCATCAACATCCATTTTCACATTTTGCACTTGTTCCATAACTTCTGTATCACTCAAAAATTGAAATGTTTTTACCTGATCGTCTACTGAAATGTAGGAGTCAAGATTAGTTCAAAACTCTCTCTGGCTTACATTAAATTTTTGTATCCACTCTGACAAAGGCATTTCGTCATCCTCGTCAACATCCTGACCATTGGGAGTTTAGCTTGACGAAAGCACTTACAAATTGTCACTGACGTAACCGCACTTCAGGCATTTTCTAAAAACTAAACTGCATAAAGGATGGTAATATTCACGGGTTCCCCAAACAGCTCGTTATGAGCCAAAGCCTTCTTCAGAACAATCTTCCATTCGTTCCTATCTCTGACAACTTTTCTCCATGCTTTAACTCCGATGGATTTTAGATCATCCTCTATGTTATCTTGATACCTAAGTTTTGGTCTTCCTCTGGCTCGTCTTCCCACTGGTTATCTTCGGTCGAAAATTTTTCTGATCGTTGCATCTTCATCTTGCCTAATTACATGTCCTATCCATCGAAAGCGTGCTAATTTAATACATTTTACAATGCCATGTTCCCCAAAACTTCTGTATAACTCAAAGTTGTAGCGCCTACGCCACAAACCCTGTTCTTGGACGTTTAAGCAATTCTTAGTCGTTCTGTGTAAGTGACCACGTTTCTGACCCGTTTGTTAACACTGGTCTTATTAGTATTTTATATATGGTAATTTTAATTTTTCTGGGTAGTTTTGGGGCCATCTGTTTCCACAAGCCATAATAGCACTTACTGACAAGCACTATTCTTCTTTTAATTTCTTCGCTGACATTGTTGACTTTGGTCAGCAGCGAGCGCAGGTAGACTCCGACAAAGTTTAGTTTGGAAATATGACTCATAAATCGACGATGCGCAGTGGTTCTTATTTACTAGTGTTACCATAGAAACGGCTAGTTTGCTGTTTGCCAGTGTTGTAGGTATCGCAGAGAGTGTTTGACTTGTTGATTTGATCGTGTGGGATATTTTATTATTTTATTTTAGATTAGTGCTTAATATATTATTGGTAGTAGTAATTAGTGATTTATTACGTTATTTAGTGTATTTATAGTGTGTTAAGTTTAGTTATTAACTAGAGGTACTTAACAATACGGTTTTTAAAAGATAGGAACAAAAGGGCTGGGATTAAATAGCCAAGCAAAGGCAATAATTTATAATGTTACTACATTTATGAAACACGAGGCGGCACATTCTGAAGCAACCGAAAACCTGTTAATATCTGTAAGGAAATTGAGGTACGTATTGTCGGCCACAGAATGTTTTATTTATGTTTAAAGATACATGTTTTTGTTCTTGTTTGTTCCTTTTTTTAGATATATGTATAAATCACTGAAGTTATAATAATTTTTATTTACGCTTTCACATCTTTAAATGTCAAGTGGGATGTATCAGGAAATATGTATTTTGCGAGTTTTCAACAATATTCTCCCATTGCTTTTCCCATTTCAGTCTAATTTTATTTTTTATTGAGTTAAATATATCCCCTACTGTTTAAATATTGCAAAAGACTCCATTCTTCACTGCTTCCTTAGCTAGAGTATCAGCTTTTTCATTCCCTGGTATATCTACATGGCCTCTAACCCAAATAAATGTTATATTTAAATTTACAATCATATTTATTAAACAACATAACATAGAACACTTCATTCTTTCAAATTTTGTATTTTTTGTATTAAAGAAATCATTAAGGAAAACCATAATTGGATTAGGCTTTAGGTAAAAATAATTATTCCGGTGAACAAATAAAACTGTATGATGGATAAAGTATTTTAAATTGATATTTTATTGGCATCGTTTTAGTTAAACTTATGATGAATATGAATAATGTCTTATCAAAAGTACTAAATATTTGGATAATTTATTTCGATTCCGGTTTCCGAAAAACTGTAAATAAAAAATATGATACGATTCTACATAATTTTTGTTTTTAACAAATGAATTGTTCTCACTTCTGTATGTTGTGATACATTTGAAATTTAAACGATCATATTTTTGAAAATATATTCTTTAAATTATCTTGAACCAATTATAGGTGGAGAAAAACCGAAGACAATAGGACTGTCCTAATGGAAAAATATGAAATTCGTTTAAAACGAATAGAATATTTAAAGAAGCTAATTCAATTTCAATCTGAGGGTAGAACCATAGTTTATACCGACGAAACATATATACACAGCAGCCATACTCTACCATACCACTGGTCAGATCAAAGTGGAAAATCTTTAAAGAAGCCAATTTGACCGGAATTATAAAAAATTATACAAGCCAATAAACCACGTTTGCCACCAGTTTATGTATTAGATTATGAGCTTGAACAACATGGACATAAAATACTTCACTTGCCTCCCTATCATCCGGAGTTAAAACCTATCGAAAAAATATGGGCTTTGGTAAAAGGTAGAGTGGCCACTCATAATAAAACATTTAACATAAGAATGTGAACATTTATTAGACTCTACCCTGGGCCACTTACAATTTCTTATTAATACTGGTTCATCCGAAGAAAGCCTTTCTGATAATGAATATAGCGATTAAAATTCCGGAATAGACGTGTTTTTGTGAGATATTCCTTTGTCATATAACAAAACAGAAATCTTTACAATCATTACTGTTTAGAAAATAAATACATTATTTAATTATTTAAAATAAATTACTTATTTTTTTGTGTTGTTAAAACCCTTCCTTCCTTCCTGGCAATGTTAATAAATTGTAAGTATTGAGGAATTTGTTCCTCAATACTTATAATTGAAATGAAAATTCATTTTCATTTTAATTGAATATACTTATAAAAATTTATTGTAAAGCTACCGGTTTCCGTCTGCCACTGGTAGAAACGGTCCGCCCGTCTGCGCGAAACACTACTTCACATTCCCAAACTTAAGTTTGTCGGACTCTAGAGAAAGGAACCTTCCAGTTCCAGATCATCAATTAATAGTCTAGGTATCTGGTTGCCTAATCTAGTACAATACATATACTTAGTTTTCTGTGCGTTTATTTTTAATCCCATTCTCAGTGCAGATGCCCTTAATGATCGAAATGCTCCTATCAGAGATTCTGTGGACCTAGCAATAATATCTATGTCATCTGCATATCCGACCACTTGTACATATTTATTAAAGATGGTACCATTCGTATTAATATGGCACTCTCGAATTACTTTTTGTAGTGCAAGGTTAAATAAGAGACACGACAGTCCATTTCCCTGTCTCAGTCCATTTTTACAATGGAAGGGTATTGAAAAGTCGTTTTGGATTCTAACTACACTCTCTACGCCTGTGAATGTAAGTTCCGTTAGTTGAACAAGATGAAGTGGCATTTGAAATTCCACCATAGCCTGTAGAAGTTTTTAGAATCCTGTAGTAGAATCCACAAATATGTGGTGTGTGTCGACTCCGAACTCAAGCGTTTTCTCAAGAATCTGCCTGACTGTGAAGATTTGATCTGTTGTTGATTTATTGGTTCGGAAACCAGCTATTTGTTCAGCATATGGACAATACTTTATATGCCACGTTAAGTAGGGTGATGCCTCTATAATTATCATACACCATCATATCTCCCTTTTTGTGAAAAGAGTGCATTACACCTAATTTCCAGTCTGCGGACGTTTCCTTTCATTGCCAGATTTCGGTTACAAATTTATGCATGTGTTTAAAAAGGGTGTCACCACCATTTTTAAAGAGTTCCGCAGGAAGATTGTCCAAAACAGGGGTTATTTTTCAGTTTTGAAATGGCTTCTCTAATTTCTTCTTCGGTGGGGGGCGGTTCTTGAGCGTTTTCATCCATTTCAGGCAAAGTAATTTCTATTTGGTCTTCTTCACAACTGTCGATAAGCAGTTCTTCAAAATGATTCGCCCACTAGTTTAGTACGTTCTTTGTCACTAATTATGGGACCATCTCTGTCTTTACATGCTGTTATTCTGGGTTTGAATTCTTTTCTGCAGCTGTTTATCTTCTGGTAGAATTTTCGAGAGTCTACCTATTGTGGTGGTTAACAACTTCTTTTACAGCGTTTTCATACGGCTCTTTCTTTTTCCTTCTAAACGTCCTTTTTTTTCTCGTTTAAGATTTTCATAGTCTTCCAGGTTTGATCTCGTTCTGTGCTGCTGAAGTCACTTATATGCTTCATTTTTATGTTGGTTAATGGATCTATATTCTTTGTCAAACCAATCTTCGTTTATTTTAGCATGGATAGGTTTTAAAAAGCCTTTAGCCGCTATATGGATAGCTTCCTTGCATTTGGTCCAGTGTTCTTCCATACTTAAATTTTCGTCGATTCTTGTCAGCTCTTCATTTAAAATTTTCCTGTAGTTATCCTTAGCGTGTTCAGATTTTAGCACATCAGTATTATATTTCGTATATTTTGTGCTCTGGCCCTTCTTTGCGGGTTCCCCATTATCAATACAAAAAATCATCATTTTCAAAAGCTGTTTCTGATTATGGTACTTTAAACTTCTTATGGCTCCTTGGTCTATAGGCTGCAAGACACTCGTGAAGTTGGCTGATAAGAAAACTAGGTTGATATTGGTTAAATTAAGCTTGAGATGGGCTGCACAGTTGTCAACTAAGAGAAGAATTTTTCTTTTTTTTTTTTAAAGAGAGTTCCTTGTCCCACTTTCACAATTCTTCTTCAAAAATAGCAGAAGTCATCCTCGCTTTTCACACAGTTGTATAGCTTACAGGCAGGAGTTTTTGTTTTTGAAACATCTAGAATGTAAACTTTTCCCAATAACCAAAAGCTTTCTTTTCTCTGTACCCGTCATGTTTGCACAAACAAAAGCCGTGACTCTTTGTTTTGAAAGCTTTTCACCTACATGTTTTTGATTTTTAAAATTTAAAGTTTTATCTGGTATTAATTTGTAAAAGACACTAGTGTCACCGCCATTGAAGATATCTTCATCCTTGTATGGTTGCCTTAGTTGTGGCCATGTGTTTTGTAACCAATCACCTGTCACGTTCTCGTCCATACCTCTTGCATCTCCAACAAGTTTCGCGAAGGAAATTGAGTGCCTGGCTTTAAACCGATCTAGCAGCCAGTTGTTGGAGCATGTGAAATCTTCACCAAACAGCTGTCCGAACTCTGTAACTTTCTCTTTTAAAAGTGGTCTGGATACAAGAATATTAGAACTGCGACACTGATTGAACCATTTGAGTAGAGCTGAACCTACATCACCACGAATAGACTTCCTAATCTTTTTAACATTTTCTCCCTCCTCATTAAAGGCCTTTTGCCCGTATTTTTTAGGATTGAGCCGACAGTCGAAATAACAAGACCAAATTGCCGACATACATCAGCAACTTTTCGACCTCTTTCAAATGTTCTTATAACACGCACTTTATCTTTAACATGCAAAGCCGTCCTTTTAGTACTATAACTTGCAATATTAAAAAATAAAAAGTTAATTACTAAATTAAAATCTAAAATCAAAGGGATAATTGGGTTTTCTCACAGTCTTGGAAGGAACAATGTCGCATAGCCGAGAACGCATTGCACTTTATTCTTCATAAAATAAAAAACGACAACCTACTGTAAAATTTTATGACGCTGTAGACGAGGCTTACTTTATTTTTAGCCGAAAAACCGTTTTTTAATAGTGTTATCGAATAGGTTTTTGGCCGGACCTATTTTAAATTGACGTTACAACCGAGGTGACGTAGCTACTGAGACCGTAATATCTGTAAGTTCCACTGTATATGTATTCTGTATTTGATACTTACTTCAATTTCCTGTCCCACCTTCAACACCCCTCTTAAAATACTGCCACCAGCTACACCTCCTTTTAAATCATTAACTTCACAACCTGGTTTATTAACATCAAAAGATCTGATCACGATCAGCCTTGGTTCAGAAGTAAAATCTCTCATCGGTATTGGAATTTTCTTAGTGATATATTCGCACAAAACCTGAAAGATACAATTGTTAACCAAATTATCAGATCGAAGTATACAAGTTTTACCTCGATGTTATATTTCAATTGGGCAGATATGGGAATTATAGGGGCTCCTTCGGCTACAGTTCCTTGGACAAATTTCACGATCTGTTCATGTTGCTCCTTGGCTTGTCCTTCCTTCACCAAATCGATCTTATTTTGAAGAATAAGGATGTGTTTCAACTTCATAATCTCGATAGCAGCCAAGTGTTCGCTAGTTTGAGGTTGAGGACATGATTCGTTTCCTGTCAACAAAAAATAAAGTTTTAAATTATGGAACTCCACATAATTGCAGTCCAAATTGTACTGACGATACTCTTCGGACCTCGAAGGTTCACAAGAATTCCTAAATCAAGTTGAATCTGCTGTTGTTAGGTAGGTAGTCCATTTCTGAACCCAAACGAACTATTATCTTTTCTCTATGCCGGTTTTTTATTTAAATAGTATTAAACAAGTTTATTAGTATGTCTAAGGTTTCATTATTTATACAATTTAACGTTTCTACTGTGATTTAATCTGTGCATACTACTTTGTCATTTTGTTTTAGTATTTTTAAAACTACTTCTTTTTTAAGTGCCGTCTCCCAATCGGAGGTTGGATATTATCATCACTATCTTTACTTTATCTACTGCTGCTCTAAAGAGTTCTATAGAATTGCATTTAAATCAGTCCCTTAAATTCTTCAACCATGACACTTTCCTTCTTCCTATACTCCTTCCTCCTCTACAGGAAAAGCCCTGTATTATCAGCCTTAACAGTTCATATCGCTGTCCCCTAATTAAGTTCTTAGATTAGAAATTAAGATTAGAAATTAAGCTCTGTAGATATACGGAAGGATACTAAAAATATCTTATGTGGACCATGTCACCAACGTTGAGGTCCTACAGCGCATGACAAAAGAAAAAGAAGTTCTTAATTTTAATTAAATTAAACAATTCGTGGTTGAAAAATCTCCAACAATGGTTTGGGATGACCTCAGCGGAGCTGTTTCGCAGAGCAGTCAACAAAACCATGATAGCCTTGATGATCGCCAACATCCGGACCGGATAAGGCACTGAAGAAGAAGAAGATATTGTAACTTTCTTATTTTTATTGTGTTTATTATTTCGCATTATTTGCCCATTTCTCGCAATATTTCCGTGTCCATGCTATTCTAAGCATCCTCCTGTAACACCACATTGCAAAGGACTGTAACTTATTTATGTGTTCTTGCTTCAATGTCCAGCTATCAAGTCCATAGTGCAGTATCGAAAACACGTAGCATCTCAGTGCTCTTACTCTCAGTTCTAATCTAAGATCTTTGTTGCAGAAAATTGTTTTCATTTTTACAAACGCATTTCTTTCCTAGCTCTTATTTCGGTTGTTTGATCATTATTGTCTGAAATCCAGGTTCCTAGGTATTTGTATTTATCAACCCTTTCTATCGGTACATTTCCCAAATGTATGTTTGTTGGTATATTTGTTTTCTTTATTATTATCATGTATTTGGTTTTTTTTAAATTCATTTTTAGTCTATATTTTTCACAGAAACTGTTTGTTTTGTTTAGCAGTAATTGAAGTTGTTCAGCAGAGCTTGCCATAATCACGGTGTCATCTGCATATCTTTTGTTGTTAATAGATCTCCCGTTAATTATTATTCCTTCACTTTGAGATAGTAATGCTTCTTCAAAAATGGCTTCAGTATATACATTAAATAGTAATATGTACATAATACATCCCTGCTTAACTCCTCTCCTGATTACAATTACTGGACTGGATTCGTTATCTATTACGATTGGTGCTCTTTGATTCCAGTAGAGGTTTGTTATTATTAGTAAGTCCCTATGGTCTATGTTTATTGCCTTTAGAATTTGGACTAATTTTTCATGTCTTATTTTGTCAAATGCTTTTTCAAAATCAACTAACAAAGATGCACATTAACATTCATATCCATGCATCTTTGAGCTAACACATTAAAAACAAATAACGCTCCTCTGGTTCCTAGTCCGTTTCTGAACCCAAACTGACTATCATCTATTCGTTCTTCCAATTATTTATACGACCCTGTATTATTTTCAGGAATATTTTGAGAATGTGACTTATTAGTGATATTGTTCTGTATTCACTGCAATATTTAGCGTTTGTATTTTTAGGGATAGCACAAAAGGTGGAGGGTAACCATTGTTTCGGTATGTATCCTGTTTTGTATACTGAGTTAAATAAGTCTACTATAATGTCTAAGGTTTCATCATTCATGCATTTTAAGATTTCTATAGGGAGTTGGTGTGGACCTAAGGCTTTACCATTTTTGCTGTTTTTTAATGCCATTTTAATTTCCTCTTTTAATATCTTGAAAACCATATCCTCTTCTACTTCTATCTCCTTCTGTTCTGTTCTATTGTCTTTGAACAGTTCATTGATGTATTCTCTTTAATTTGTCGTTAGTATTCAACACACGTTTCTCATTTGCATCTTTCAGTATTCCCAGTTTTCTTGTTCTATTTTTGTGAGTTAATTCTTTAATTTTTTTTATGTATGTTACAACTATCATGTCTTTTCTGGTATTCTTCTATTTCTGCGCATTGTTCTTTTAACCATTGTTCTTTCGCTTTCTTAATTCTAATTTAAAACTACGCCATCCTTTAATTACATTTGTTTTGTTCTGTTGTATTTAAACAACTCATTAATGTATTCTGTCCATTTCTTTAGTTTTTCGTTAGTATTCAATACTAATTTCCCATTTGCATCTTTCAGTGTCGCTGGTTTTCTTATGTTATTGTTGTGTTAATTATTTGTTCTGTTGGTGTGTTTTAATGACTTTTCTTGTATTCTCCTGTATGTGTACACTATTCTTTTAAGTCTGTACAAGAGACTCTATTCTTCCAGCGGTGTACATTTTTCAATTATCATTTCTCAGAATTTAGTACCTACAATTTAGATACTCTACTATAGTACTGGCTACTATAGGGCCATACTATAAATTATTGCCTACTTTTCAAATTTTTATTAAAAATACCACTAATAAAGAAAAAATCATTCAAATACTTTGAATAACCAAATATTAAGTATACATTGTAGGTAAAGTTTATGGTCGGTATGGACGTTACGTGAGATGGAGTGAGAAACACCTGTTTAAAAAGAGAGAGGTATATTAGGTCCACCCTTTATATTGTCGAAAATGTATTAGTGGAAATAATAAAAGAGAGTTGCCAAACTTATTGGTTTTATTTTAGCCTGTTGTCTTTTTAGCATTTGAACAATGTTATAAGATAAACAAATTTGGGCGAATTGATTTAAATGGCAGCTTACTGATTTTTATTGGGAATATGCCACAATTTTACTTTACAATAAGTTTGATTTAACATTTTGATTTCGACTTCGTTAGTCGTTTATTATAAATAAAATTTATATGTTTCGTATTTGAAATACGATTTCCGAATTGGAAATCTAAACATCAAAATAAGCTTATTTTAAAATCACATTGTGTCTTATTCCCAATAAAAATAACAAATTGCACTATGACGCCACAATAAAAAAGCTTCATACAAAATTAGTTGGCAACGTCGCGTCGTCAAAGTAACTTTGACACTTTGATTTTAATACTGTGGTAACGAGCAGAACAGAACTAGTTTGGTATGACATGCGTATTGCATGGGTTAATGGGTTGGTCTTTCATAAAGCATAATAAATCAGTACTAGTAAAGCATTAGGAAGGAGTAGGTGTATTATATTAAATTTAAACTGGACAAAAAATTACGTCTTTTAATTAAAAATAAGATATTATTTGGTATTTTCCAAATAATATCTTTGAAACCATATTTTCGTTTAGATTTTTTGAAGTTAGTTGTGAAAATAAAAATTAGTTGTATAAAAACGAAACAACAAAAGATAAAATTAGTATAAAAGCATAAAATTTGTTCTATAAAAATAAAGTCAAATAAAAAATAATTCCAACACTACTGTTTAAACTAAAAATAATTCCAAACAATTAGAAATTCTAAACCAAATTCTTAGGTAATTAAATGTTGAAAGAGACTACCAGATTGTAATGAACAGTAACCAAATCTATTATACAACGCATTTCTCATGGCGTTTAGTTCATCTGCCGATATATTTTGGCTAAGTTGGATTATCTTTTCCTTCAGTTCCTCCAAGTTGGTGGCTCGCTCCAATGGATGCCTGTACAATTTCGTTTTTAGCATTCCCAAAAATAAAAATCTAGAGAAGCTAAGTCGGGTGACCTAGGGAGCCATTTTATTGTACCGTCTGTACTAATGACACGTTCAGCAAAAATTAACGCTAAATAGTCTCTAACGGCTTTTGCAGTATGTGCAGGACAACCGTTTTGTTGAAACCAAATTTCGTTGAAGTTAATTTGAAGACGTTGAAGTGCAGGAGTAATTTGATTTTGCAGTAATTGGAGATATTAGACTGCGTTTAAATTGCCTTTAATGAAAAAAGGACCAATAATATGGTCTCCCAAAATTCCAGTTCAAACATTCAATTTTTGTGGATACTGCGTACGCACAGACACAATCACAGCATTTTTTACATCTGCCATTAGTACAGCCAAACTTTTCAAATTGATTAATAATGGCCAATACAGTTTTTTCTATAGGTCTTGGTCTACTATCAAAAGCCATAATAAATAAATTAATAGTTTCTTGTACTTAACTGCACCCAAAGTACCATTTTATTATTTGTGCCCATTTTCTGTTGTATAAACAGTCAGCATATCAAATTTTTATTTTCACCCCTACGCGGTTACCTCCAAAAATAAATACATAGCATAGCGTTCAACCTGTCTCGTATGCAGTTTACCATTGAAGAGAATGGACAAATAGCGATGTTGCCAAAATTATCTTGTTTTATTGGAAATTAGGTTACAATTTCGTCAAATAAAAATGCGTAAATTTCTCATGGATTTAAGACATTTTGTACCAGTATTTGTGTCAATTAGTGTTTCATTTTTAATATCATCATCCAGTTTTGAATGTAAATATATCTGCGCCACTGATCGCTAATTTTTTAAATCAATTCAATGTTTTAATGCAAATATGTAATAAGGCAACCCTGCCACTATTTCTCACGTATAAGCTGGATCGGAAATATTCGTCTAAAGGGTGTGCATGAGGAATGTGAAGGGGAGACCAAGGGGAAATATGATTGTTATCTTTGTCTATTCGCTGAAAATAAGATTTTATATCTGTGTTAGATATCCTGTTAAATTCTACTATACCGACCATAAACTTGTACTTACACCGTAATAAATTTTTACAATAAATATTTTTAATAATTAATATTTGTAATAAAAAAATTTACACCGTCATAAATAATTGTAAATAAAAAGCCATAATATAAAATGTTTGTATAAAAAAACTTGAAACTTACATTATCTGTTACCAAATATCGTAACAAAATAAAAATTTACACCCTACCTGCAATTAATAACAATGCTGCGTCCATCACAGCGGCTCCGTTAAGCATGGTAGCCATAAGAATGTCGTGACCGGGGCAATCTACAAAGCTGACATGTCTGACCAATTGGAATCTACCCGAACATGCTGGACGCAAACAAGGGAAACTGTCGTCCTTTGAAGAACTGCCCGAAATAAAGCAGGAGGGCCTGGGACATTTCGGATTGTCGCATTTGTAGATTTTTGCGTTAGCATAACCTGTGAACAAAAAGAACATGTTAGACGGACAATCTTGAGCCTAAACAAATTTCATTTAGACTAAGCACTTTCTAAATCTCTCGATCTTACCCATTGAATACGTCTGACACATTATGGGAAAGGTATTACTAGCTTTACTTAATCGCCCTTCGACTCTAGCGGCACTTCAGCTTGAGGTGCAAGTAGCCTGGGATGAAATGCATTAAGAAACAATCATCTTGGCGACGTGCAAGTACTTGGAGGGGATACGAGAAACGATCGTGCGCGAGTAGCGGAGAAATTTTGCATTTTTTACTGTACATTTCATAGATTTCATAAATTCATATTGTCAATTGTCATATTTCATATTCGTTTTGTTTATTTACATTTACACCTTCTGTCTCTGAAGAAAATGGGATTTATAGGAAATGCTGTGTTATAAATTGTAAAAATACAACAAAAAATTGTCAATTTAAGTTTTATTCGTTTCCAACTTCGAAGCACAAATCTAATACAAAGAGAACAGCTGATTTATATCATAAAAAAGCATAAGTAACATAACCTAAATTATGCAGTATTCTTGCGCCCGATTTTAAAGTCAGTTTGAAATAAATAATAAATAAAAGTTCACTTTTAAGTGTAGATTTTAGTTTCATAACACTCACAGAGTTCATTTTAACCCAAAAATCAAGTTTAATGTTGTAAAATGTAAATTTTATTTTTTGAAGTTTACAAGAATGCATCAAGTTCAAGTTTTTCTGAAGATGCATTAAGATATATTCGCTGTCAAAAAGTTTACAGGTAAAGAATTAATTGTTCAAACCAATATGATGATATCATGGGCTTAACCTGCTAATTTATGCATTAGCATTATATATGGTAATTTATTTTTCTTAATTCTTCCATTATTTTTTTACATTTGCCACTACTAAAGCTTTTCCCTTTGACTCAGTGCTTGGTTGAAAAGTTATTTGGTGATTTACTTTCTCAAATCCAGTTTTTATTATTGAATCGATATTAACAGTAATGCTGTAATTCAATAATATATTTATTTGTATTTACGCTACATCAACGTTTACCTTTTAATAATATACCGACATAACCTCAATCTTACTTTTTCTTCTTATTCTTTTTTGGGGCCACGTCCTTGGCAGTTATCCGGTTACCTCGATCTAACATAAAAGCGCAGTAAATTTTGCTGATTTACGACACCAGGTGTCGCTGTTCCGAACTTGCACGGTCCCACTACTCTTCTATTTCTCACCCAGTCCTTGATGTTCTCCACCTTGTTTCTACGTCGTATTTATGTACTTCTAGTTCTAAGTGGTTTCATCTCTGCTGTTTCTAACATCCTTTTTGTCCTCTCTATGACATCCGTGTATGTCATTATTGGTCTGATGACTGTTTTGTGAATTCTGCATTTTATTTCTTTTCCGATATTTTTTAACTATATTAATAAAAAGATATCTTCTTCTTCTTGTGCCGTCTTCTAACGAAGGTTGGCGATCACTTCTTTAAACGCTTCTCGATCTTTTGCAACGTGAAATATCTGTTCAACACTGAGGTTAGTCCAATCTCTGATATTCCTCAGCCAAGATTTCTTCTTTCTTCCCAAATGAAAGAATTTTAATGAAAATATATCTATATACAATAATTTGTACAGACGGTAAGTTAAATGGTTGGTTATTTCATCATTATTATCATCAGTGGTGCCACAGCCCTAGTAGAGCCTCGACTTTCCCCAGTCTACTTCGCCAGTCGTTTCTGTTCATCGTCAACCGTTCCAAGTTTGCCGCGACGTCTAAAGCATCCCTCCACCTCAATATTGTTCTGAAGCTATTTTATTGTGGCATCTTAATCTTAATGCATTAATTATTTTTATTTGGAATAAGCCACAATTTAAATTAAGTTTATTTTTATGTTTTGGTTTCCATTTCAGAAATCGTTCTCAAAATACAAAGTTTGTTTTTGGTTAATTGGTGAAAAATTCTTCTAATAATTTAATTTTATCTGACCCACTCATATTGAGAATTTAGACATGTTATACATTTTAGAGTAGACGACTTAAAATGATGTTATCAATATTAAGTCGCATTCTTGGGACGACTTTATTGTAAGATAGTTCATTCGATTACATGAAATCGAATTTACTCATAACAAAATCCCGACATGGTAAGTATTTGGTCTTACATTTAGTTTAATATCAATAAACACCAAACTCCGATTTTATATGTTGGTTATTTAAAAACATAAATGATCGTCAATCCGCGATGTACTATCAAGCACTATACAAATAAGCCACTCAGAAAGAAATACCAATTCTTCAAACCCTACAGCCAAGATTCTTTCCATTCTTTCCTCATGGGTAATTATCACCACTCTTACAGCATTCTTCAACCGAGGGATAAGCGATCGCAATATAAAAAGCGACCTCAAGTAAGCAAAAAAAGAGCTGCTAGTACCTATTAATAGGAATATACATTAAAATCAAACAAATAGTGAACTCTATGCTCAACTTCCTACCAAAACTCAGTCCTCAGTCTAACCAAAAATCTACAAATAACCCTAATAACCAAACGTGCCGCTAAAGGGTAAACGACTGGTGGGAAATCTAAGATCTCCATGATTTACATCGTCCCCTAGCTCCATCCTATTAGCCTATACCCATTTTTATAACAAGAATTACATCCCTAACCATAACTATTTCAAAGTGTCCTTCTCGTACAATATCGAAATACTATATCGGTCCTCTGGGGAGGGGGGTGGTGGTGGCGGTTGTTGCGTTTACCCCCAGGGGGGGCGGGAGAGGAAAAGGAGAAGGAAAACAGGTCCAGGAAGGCGAAGTATTTTCCTGGTCTAATAAAAAACTCTACGTACATGGTTCAACACAACAACCACAAATCTTTTCAGAGTAGCAGTTTGCAAACTACAGATTGCCATGATGGTCGCCAACATCCGAAACGGATAGGCACTACAAGATGATTCTGCGTAGTATCTTCCTTTCGAAGACGAGCAGATGACTTGCGTCTGTTGGGCATCTGTTCTTCTTCATATATCCTACTCATCATTTGCACAAAATATCAATCCCTTCCTCTCCTAGAGCCTTTCAAACCTCCACATGTATTCCATCAGGCCCTACTGCCTTACCGGTCTTCGTCCTATTTAACGCCTGGACAACTTCATTTTTCGCTATCCCCGGTATTACATTTTCATTTGGGATCCCGCATCCTCTGCCTCTCTTCTGGTGTTCTTGTTCTTCATTTAGCAACTTACTAAGTACTCATACCATCTTTGCATTATTTCAACATCGGTTCTTAATACTGTTCCATCCGCACTCTTATCTGCCGCACGTGGTCCAAGTCCTTTGATGATTTGTCCCTTATTTTAACAAGGCTGTATAACCTTTTCATCCCCTCAAGTTTTTACAACTCTTCATACAGCGGTGCAGACAATCTTTCTTTAGCAGCAGTTATAGCGCTCTTCCTTGTATATATCCTTATCTTGTTCTCTTTTAGACCTGTCACACCTCTTTATTTTCTCTAATCTTCTGTTGCACCTCATTGTTCCACCACCAAGTTTCTTTGTCTTTAAGAGGCACTTTACCAGATGTTTTTCCTAGCACTTGCTTTCCCATTCGCACCACAACTTACTGTTGGCCTCCCACTAACAAGTATCTTTTTCATCAAGTTCTTCCAGCGCTATACTCATAAAGACTATTGCCAAATCCTTATCCTTTAACTTCAATCACTTTACTTTCTGGTGTTCTACTTGCTTTCCTTTTCGCCTCACCTTTATAAACAACATATGCTACATTAAAGAGAAGGCACGCCAGTGCATCTTCCTGTCGTAACACTGCTTGTGACAGATCGCCTTGTATTAACACTCTCCAGATCACTTTACTCATAGTTGTTTTTACAAGTCTTTTTTCTTTTTTATTCATGGGGAATGTTAAGTTCATTCATGGCTTCATATAATTTACATCTTGGACGCTATCAAACCCTGACGTAAGTCCAAAAAGAGATAAACCGTATCAATGTTAAATTCCTTGGTTTTTTCTTTGATTTGACGTAGCACAAAAATCTGGTCAATTGTTGACCTACCTGGCTTTGATATTCACCAAGATGTACGTACTTAAACGGTTGTACAATATACAGGAGAACATTTTGTATAATGTGTTCAGAAGAGTTATACTACTATAATTTCTACATTCCAACACATCTCCCTTTTTGTGCAGTGAACATATGGTATAGTATCATTGGTTATCTACGTAATCCAAAATGCATGTAAAAATGTATGTATGAATACATAAATAGCAAAATCTGAATGGCAATTCTACTTAAATAGATGTGGCGCGAACTCCCACAGGGGACTGGCCTATCCTTATCCGTCGTTGCCAATCCTAACATAACGGCTTGTGAAGTAGAAATGATTTGATTATGGTTATGCTGCATTACTTGTTAGAGCATGATTACTTCTTCTTGAAGTTCCATCTTCTATCGAAGGTTGAAAATTATCATGACCATCAAGTTCTTAGGTCACAATATTCTTCGTCTTCCCACATTTTACTTTCCTCGAATTTTGCCTTGCATAATAATCTGTAATCTCTTATAACATGGCCTAAGCATTCAAGTTTTCTTCTTTTGATAGTCAATATTATTTCAGCTCCATTTCCTATTCTTCAAGTAACTTCTGCGTTTGATATTCTTTGAGTCCATTATATTCGTAGGATTCTTCTGTAACACCAAAATTCAAAGACGGACAACTTATTCAGATACACTTGTTTTAATGTCCATGATTCCAATCCATAAAGAAGAGTAGTGAATACGTAACACCGAAGCATTCGTAAGCGCAATCCTAACCTTATATCCTGACAACAGAGAAACTCTTTAACGAATGGTTATTTTCTTTGGTTTGGTATACATTTGATGTTATCCATGTTACTAAGTAGGATCATTTGGTCTAGAAAACCGGAACGATCGGGGAGATACGTTGGAGATTTTTGCGGAAGCAAATCAATTAGT